ACGAGTAACGTACGTTTTAGTATGTTGATCTCCATTAACCCATGTTTCATCACTCCATAGTATCTTTTTCCATTGTTCGTACGTCCAATTGACATGTTCAGAAGCCTATTGAAAACGCGCTTTTCGATTCTTTTCGGAAATAGGAGGTTTGCGGCGAGCAACTCGACGCGAAAAGCCTGCTCTTCGTAGAGCATTTCGAATGGCATACCATCCGATATTGATCTTCATAGCAAGAGGGATCTGGATCCATGGTGTACGTCGATTAGCTGCAGAAGAACAAACCCACGCAATAATTTGCTCAAGTTCTTCTTCAGTAATAATTGAATGTCGCCCAGTATGCTTTTTAGGTGTTAATCGATTGCGAATAGCATATTTGATTTGGTATAGAGTGAGATTTGGTAACTGCTGACGAATTTCGTTGTACGTATGGCCTGCGTCGTGTAGAGTTTGAATTTGTAAACGTTGATCTCGAGTAGAATGAGAGGAATGAGAGGAATAAGGAGGAGTAGAGGGTCTATCAGACTCATTAGTATCCATATCAAATTAATAGAATTTGTAGAATTCGTAGAATTTGCAGAATGACAAAATTCGTGCAAAATAGCGACAGGGATGCTGACAGGGATGCGCATGTAAAAAACGCGTTTGTAAGATATTTTGACCAGGGGGGGGGTGCAAAAATTAGGCCTGTAGCCGTAGTATAATAACATAATTTTATGTACGGAGTACGTAGTAAATTAGATCATATCACTGTTAGGCCGAAACTAAGCACACATTGGTGGTAGTTTAGGCATAGTTTTCAGTGGGCCTTCTCTGGCTAAGTAGTGGTAGGGTACGGGGATCTCTTGGCGTATGTGCTAATCGTTCTCTTCCATTTCGGGACTAGCTTAATTAGGGTCCAGAAAATTTTAATTCAGCCGTAACTTCCAGAAGGTCAACCTGGTCTTCACCCTTTCTACTACCTCGCAACTCCAAATTAATCTTCCTTAATCTCAAAACCTTCTCTCAAACTCTTTCACCCAAATTCTTTCTTAGCAAGGAAATACCGCTCAAGCTCACTCGATACTGCACATCCGATCTCGTCGGAAATCATGGCTTACGGTGCTGGTGACTACGACTCGTCGCGTCGCACTGATTACGGTGGTTATTCCAACGGGTGAGTCTCACCTTCCTCTGCGCTTACTTGGAGCCTTCTTTCACCAGAGTATGTTCCTTTGGCTGGTATCTGGCTGAGAGGAGAATATCTCTCTGGCTGAGAGGAGAATATCTCTCTGGCCAGCTTTTGGCCCCTCCCTTACCTCAGAGTCGCCTCATTACCGTGTGGTCCCAACGATCTACTGACACTATTGCTGCAGTTATGCTAGCGGTGGTTACTCAAATGGTAACTCAAACGGATATGCTGCTACGAGCGGGTATTCGAATGGCTCCTACGGCGGCAGCGGAGGCGCTGGAGGATACGGAGGGGGCTCCTACGGTGGTGGTGGTGGTGGTGGTGGCGACAAAATGTCAAATCTTGGTGCAGGCTTGAAGACACAACATTGGGACCCCGCCACTATGCCAAAGTTCGAAAAATCGTTCTACAAGGAAGATCCGAACATCACTGCTAGATCCTCACGTGAGGTTGATGAATTCCGCCGAAAGCTCGAAATCACGGTTCAAGGAAAAAATGTCCCGCGACCTGTAGAGACATTTGACGAGGCGGGTTTCCCTGGCTATGTTATGTCTGAGGTAAAAGCCCAAGGTTTTAGTCGTCCGACTGCTATTCAATCCCAAGGCTGGCCGATGGCGCTCTCTGGTCGCGATGTCGTTGGCATCGCCGAGACTGGATCTGGAAAGACGCTCACCTATTGCTTGCCCGCTATTGTTCACATCAACGCACAGCCTCTCCTTGCTCCTGGAGATGGTCCCATTGTGCTCGTTCTTGCACCTACTCGAGAGTTGGCTGTTCAGATTCAGCAGGAAATCACAAAATTTGGCAAGTCGTCGCGTATTCGAAACACCTGCGTTTATGGTGGTGTCCCCAAAGGGCAACAGATTCGTGACCTCTCTCGCGGCGTGGAGGTTTGCATCGCTACTCCGGGTCGTCTCATTGACATGCTTGAATCTGGCAAGACTAACCTCCGTCGTGTGACGTACCTTGTCCTTGACGAGGCTGATCGCATGCTTGACATGGGATTTGAGCCTCAGATCAGAAAGATAATTGGCCAGATTCGACCTGATAGGCAGACATGCATGTGGTCTGCTACATGGCCCAAAGAAGTTCGACAGCTTGCTTCTGACTATCTCAATGATTACATTCAGGTTAACATTGGCTCCATGGACCTGTCGGCTAACCACAGAATTGTTCAAAAAGTCGAGATTGTATCCGAGTTCGAAAAGCGTGATCGCATGACTAAGCACCTCGAGGAGATAATGAACGATCGTAGCAACAAAGTACTCATCTTCACAGGTACAAAGCGTGTCGCTGACGAGATTACACGATTTCTTCGCCAGGATGGTTGGCCTGCTCTCTGTACGTCTGTCCGCTTCGTTGCCATGGCATACTGGCTAACGTGTTCTCAGCTATTCACGGCGACAAGCAGCAAAATGAACGTGATTGGGTTCTCAATGAATTCAAGACTGGCAAGAGTCCGATCATGGTTGCTACAGACGTGGCATCTCGTGGTATTGGTATGATTATATGCTGTCCCGCCCCCTATTCCCCCCACCTCTCCTGTTATATCTCTTACCATACAGACGTCGTGTGATCATTGGTGCTCTACTCTCTCTCTCCGTTAAAAACGGATGTTTTCATACATCCTCGTCCAGGCTTGGTGTGGTCCTCAACCCAGGAAATCTTGGACATCCGGGGCAGCCTGCCATGATTCGCTTCTTGCATTTCATCTCTGGCTTGTGCCTTGATAGGCGTTGGCATAGAAATGGCGTTTCTTGAACTGAACTCCACGTGCTGCATCCAGGGTTCTCCACAGGACTGTAGACATGTGCCTAGCCAGGACACCCAGGACATTCGGATACCGCTTAGGTAACAGAGAGTAATGCATCTTAGACTCACACGGCCGAATGTGGCCCAGTCGACTGTGACGTTCATTTTGGTGGTCGTGCTAACATATGTGTTCAAGACGTCCGGGACATAACTCATGTGTTCAACTATGACTATCCGAACAATTCGGAAGACTACGTTCACAGGATTGGGCGAACTGGACGTGCAGGAAAAAGCGGAACTGCCATCACCCTCTTTACCACTGACAGTAAGTCAAAACTCCCTCCTCAAGGCCATCACAATCATGCTGATTCGTGGCGCAGATGCGAAACAGGCCCGTGATCTTGTCAACGTGTTGACAGAATCTAAACAACCAATCGATCCTCGTCTCATGGAGATGGCTCGCTACAGCGGAGGCGGGAGTGGTGGCGGCCGTGGTTATGGCGGTGGACGTGGTCGTGGCGGAGGAAGAGGTGGTGGTGCTGGCTTCACAGCGTCAAATTCGGCACCCCTTGGCCGGAGCAGATGGTGATGAAGCTACATTCACTTCACTTTTTCTGTCGGCAAGGTTTGGCACGCAAACACCACGATACCAGATAGACCTCACTGCCTCAGCATCATCGGCGTTGGGATAGACTTTACTCACGTTGCTCTTCAAGGTCGAGTAACTCATCTTTTCGTCCTGAGCTAGACTTGAAGGTGAGGAATCTGCTCACCGGTTTGCAAAGTGTTCGTTATAGCTAGAATTCACATTTCAATATTGCTTCTGCTTCGGGCAGCGTGCTGTTTGACTACCAAGCCGATGTCTGCATTCCCTCTGCTCTATCTATTGCAGCCACTTTCATGCTTGGCCCTGTTATCATGATCTGCTACGTAGTACTACGTAGACATGAGATGGGATCGGTTGCCTGTTTCGGGTATGGATCTTCGGTGATTCCTTTTTCTGTGGCCCCCAAACCGGGGGAGTTTACGTACTACGTAGTAGTATGTCAACATCCAGACCTGACTTTGAGATCAAGCCTCTCTCTCGGTGTGACCGGGGATTTCTGACAGCATTCGATGACCGCACCGTCTTCCTTTTTGACGCGCTGCTCTAACCGGATACACCAATCTCGCACCACATCAATATCGTGCTCCTGCAGGTCTTATGCAGGCCTCATTGCCAAGGTGAGCTTGGAATCCAGGCTACCACTGCTAGAATCCAACCCCGGCAATTGAATACCAGCCGAGATGCAGGGGGCCATGGGTCAGCACTATCGGCCGTTGGCGCCAGTAGGACGCCCACAGTGTTCTAACCTTCCTGTTCGAGCTCTGTGCAGACGAGGTGGCTTTGATCCGTGTCTCTTATCCAATCTCGACTCACTTGTGAGATGCTCTATGCAACTCCATCCAATCGCTCGCGCCTGGATTGGCCAAGGGAGGAGGCCTCTCTGCCTGAGGAGCGTCCTCGAGCATCTGAGCATGTCAGGTGGTCGTCAAGGAAGGATTGGCAGCGGTCACCAATTGGCAATGAACGTGAGAATCGGAATTGCATTTCACAAGTGCTTTCTCCCGCCTAGAGAAAACGAGAGACACTACGGAACCGAGTTTAGACTTTCGGAGGCTTGAAGACATCATCATGGACACGAAGTCGACAAAGTTGTATGTTAGTAAGTTCCCCACCCCTACCCCCTACATCCTCCTATCGCATAGTATGCTATCTGCCATCTGAACACGGAGGATGTTGATGGTTTGATCTGAGTCGTTGACCCAAGAACCAGCCAGATGGAAGCCACTACTCTCCTTAGCCAAGTGGCCATTGTGGCTAACTTCTGCGATCTAGGAGATTAGTCCACGACCATTTATGACTTGACATTCTACCCCTGCCCCACGTTCTTCGATGTTTCTTATGAAGCAGAGCTTATCGAGGCCATCACCCCGTTGCAGATCTACTGGCCACGGTCCAATTTCTCACACGGCATCTTCCGAAGAACAGCTTGGGTCATCCTGTGCCGACGCAGGAGAAGGCGAAAGCGGGGTCAGCTGCCGCATACCCAGACCAAGGCCTTTTTTCTCACCTGCTTCTGGACGCTGCATTGAAATCCTTTGCCATAGCTGATCCCTGTAAGTTGTCGCCTACGTAGGACGGAAACACCATTGGCTGCTGCAGGAGTCGCTTGGGGAAGCTCCTGAGTGGTGGGGTGACATCTTGGCCGCAGCCTGTTCGTGGGGCGTGATTCGATCACCTCCTTCCACCAGGCCATTGCATCACTTCCCTTCCCGGTTCACCTGCTCTATTATACGATTTGTAAATTTCGTCAGATGGCGGTGACTACACCACCCCCACTCTGGCTATTCTGTTGTGCATTGCGCTGTACAATTGGCCATTCGTTCTTAACTCCCACCGCCCGTTGACCCCCATTTTGCTCCGGGATGAAAAACTTTGGACGCTGAAGCCAGCATTACCACAGTCTAGATTGCGAAGCCCGGAGTGGCGTCTGCTGAGTACGGAAGCATGCTTGTAATCAGGCGGCGGAGGTATTTACTATTTACGACGTTGTATTATGAATGTTACCACGGGACAAGGCTTAGCAGGCTCTTTACGTAGTACTATTTGAAGAAGTCTCCAGCTCGAGCTCGGTGGCATTGTGCCGCGCGCGGACAACAGTGAAGCTCTAGTGTGGCCTTTCCACGCTGTTGCACATCTTCCATGTGGCGAAAATATAGCGGTGCATTGGAACATATGCATAGAAGATGTCCACTCTTCTGTACCGTTCTGGCCGCATATGCTTAGTCTAATCCTGTTTTTCATGCTGGTTGTTATTTTCTGACTGTAGGACATATATGACGCTACTCACGCGGCCAGTCGAGAACTAAGGAGAGAGGCTCTTTGGAATGCATCTCACTACGTAGAAGCTTGATTTTTTAGTCCACGCAAAGGGCTGCATGCAGCTTGCATCTCTTCACGACCACATCTGACTACTTGATCCTTCAGGCGGCAGATACAATGTAGCCTGTAACCGTCTCGTTTGGCCTGCGCATCATTCCGATCATTGTGGCCAGAAAGGCAGTCCGGCGACATTGCGGCGTCGGCAGGAATCGGTGTGAGCGATTAAATAGAATAATCCTGACCATCTGCGGAACAGATGTTGCATACCCGGCAGCAGCTGCAGCTTGAACAGGCAGACCATTCGATGCAAGGTAAGACAATCTGATACGGTGACTTTCCCTCTGCCTTCTGCGCTCGTACCCACACCCGACGGTGATGCGAGGACATCAGAGGGCGTAGTTACGTATCATCTTGACAGAGTTTGCGTTGTCCGGTACAAGGCAAGGAAACACGGAGCGGTCAATCAGAACGTTTTACAGCATGGCGTACAGGTGAGATGACGAGATGTTGTCGCAGGCCAATGCCAGAGAGGCGGCAATTTGGGAGAAGGCAGTCCTGCACTTGAGTCTGGATGCTGGCGAGAAAAGCAACAAGGAAGATGCGAATATGGAGGTGCTCGTGCACTAAATGGCAAGCCGAGAAAGCACCCTAGCTTCACCTATAGATTGGCAGCGTATCTGCGCCGAAGCGTTCCTTGTCCATACTAGTTCTACTGTATTGCTCGAGCATCAATAGATCGAAAGAATGCCAGTGCATACTGCAATGTCGAGCTCCGCATAAGATCGAGTTCGGTGTTCGTAGG